TTGGAAGCACTGTCTGACGCGTCTGCCTCCGCGACCCGAAAGGAGAAGCGGCGATGGAAGATGAAGATATCAGCTGAGTGTCATATCAACATACAATGTCTTTTTCAGAGGAGAGAAAACAGCCACCCTTTTCCTGGTTTGAAAATCTTCATTCAATTAGGATATACAAAAATCATGGTACTGGCATTTCATTAGCTCAGCATTTCGGAATTCAGGATACAACGGCCGGGGCAACTGTAGCAATTGAGGAAATAAGTCTCATATTTACTGTCACTTAGTTTTTTAGACTCTTCAGGTGGAAGGTAAGCATGCCACTGAACGCGTCAATGGGTGTCTGCTTTCAATGAGTGTCATAACGCTTGTTGCTGAGGCTCTAATCGCAATTTGGTCCATTCATCCATTAACCCAAATTTTTGATTTCACGCGTCGTCGATCAAGTAGCCCGCGTTATTGAATGACAGTTAAAGAAAGAAAGCTGTTTCCTTTAGGCCTGCCTGGTGGACAGTAATGCTCAAGGCTTAGTGGATTATGCCAGAAGCAGTGTTTCTTGCTGTCAGGATTTGCTGCTAGAGCGCTACATCAAGATCATGGTAATTCGCCATTATAGGCTTAGGCTTAAATCATTTCTCCGCTAGGCGTAGCACCAATTTCAGAAAAGCTTATGGAAAGCCGGCTGCGGAAGTTCGGCCACGGGAAAAAAAAGACCCTTCGAGTACGTTTGAAATGTCGTCCAAGCACTGATACTTCCAGGAAAGAAAAGAGGGGGAAGACCGAAGAAAAGGTGGCGCGATGTCCTCAATACTGCGAGGAGTCTCTGACGATATAACTAAGGACAGAAAAATAAGGTGGAGTTTGACTCAGTTGGCAGACCCCTGCTCTAGGGAACATGCAAGGATAAAGAACAAGAAGAAGAAGGCCTTAATCATTTCTCTATTGCTGGCTTGGAACTGAAGCTGCTGCAGGTGACAACAATATTTCACATGGAATTGAGCGAACGCTTTAAGCATGCGTGCTCTGGTCAAAGTTTCATATGAATCATGCTAAAATCTATCTCAGTCGTCAAACGATATTTCAGAATGGTAAAAGAATCTGTGTTCCTCCCTTTCATTGCCGACAGTTCCATTGACCACGAAGGATTGGCGAAACTTATAAGAGAAGAGTTTCTTAGTTTGGCATTTTGAAGGGAAGGTTGTTTTCATTTTGTGTGTGTGTGTGTGTGTAAGTTTTCATTTTTATATAAGGCTCAAACTTAACGATAGCCAGTTTATATGATAATTTCGTCGTTCATACCCAATGTATCTCAACGACATTGGGCGACACTTCATTTAAAAGTACATGACCATTAATAACCATGAAGAAGTGTTAAGCGAGAAGTGTTATTTCTGAAAGAAAATTGAGAACGGAGACTGCCACAAGGTGTACATTGGAAAGACCAACCGGAAATGGAACATTCTGATTAAAGAGCACCTTTTGACGGGCTGACAACTCCGGCATTGCCCAACATGCGATTACTGAAGGGCATTCTTTCAGTCAGATCAATGTGCCTGTTTTAGACAGAGACCAATCTCAACTAGGTCTGCTGGTGAAGGAGTCCTTGCATATACTGGC